GAAAACCGTAGCAGGAAGCTAGCGCAGTCGTAGTATATATCGTCAAATAGACCGTAGGCAGAGAGGGAGAAGAGGACAACAAACAAGGGGCTGTGACAAACTGTTTCGTCGGAGTTTCACCGACTCATCAGGAGGCTGAACCCTCAACAGTCTGCAGAATCCCCTCACTGATTACACTGTAAATGATAATCTACCTTGGCCGAAGCAACCTCCCCCAAGTGCATCCTGCGAATGAGTCACGGTTCGGGGGGAGAGCGGCCGAAGCAACCTCCCCCTTGTGTAAGCAACTAGAGCTGCAAGGGTGGCTGTATCTGGCTCTTGTCTGATATACTCTTTCTTTTCCTCTTCAACTGCCTCTTACGCACTTTTGGCTCGTCGGTGATGAGCAACTGGACTGATGTCCCCCAGAATAGATGGGGCTTTGCCTTTTCAAAAAAGAAAAAAGAAAAGAAAAAGGGCTATGGCAGCAGTATGGCCTTGAGGGGTAATTCAGAATTGTAGTGTTTTACTCGTTTGCTTCCAGTGGAGTTTGAACTCCGGTCTGTATTTCAACAGTTCAGTGGTGTACCACCTTGTCATCATCCATTTCAAGAAAAAAACGCAAAGAACGCACAACTGTGTCCACTTTCTTTGTGGCAAATATTTGATTGTTCTTGTAGTCTTGGAGATGAAAACAGGCCAACCCGAGATAATATACAGGATCTCCGAAGGGACAGATATTTTCTTGTAGCTACTTCCAGAGATGTGTGCACGCACGAACACACCGCTGAGTCGACCGACATCTGTGACACAGGTTTTTCTTTTTTTTCCCCCCTTTTTTTTTGGATTTGGGAGGGGCCATGCTACTCTTTTCTGTGTCGTTCCAATTTAAACAAAAGTCTGGAAGGATGACATCTGCCGTAGGTAGGGAGACCTCCACGATACCAAGGTGATCTCCGTCCTCCTCTACTGGCCTCCTGTTCAATCAGACAGCTCCAGCATGGGCAGAGCAGCAGGATGTCCACGTATTGAGGCCGCATGTGAGCAGACTCTCGTTGCCTCTCTCTCTCTTTCTCTCTCTCTCTCTCTCTCTCTCTCTCTCTCTCTCTCTCTCTCTCTCTCTCTCTTCGAGGAAGGGTGTGCAGCAGGATTGGTGAACCTTTATTGAGATGTATGCGTTCTGAAAACACTGAACCATACCACTCAGCCCTCAGGTAGCCATCACTTTTGCTCAGGCTGAAGCTGCCATTAAGATACAAATCATCATGGGGGTGAGACTGCATCTCAAGACTTGAATCTTAGGATTCTTACAAAGAACCAAAAAAAGAGGAAAAGGCATCAGATTTTCCTCCTGGTTAAGTTGCAATAAAAACCAAGAAATCTGAAACAGTTACACATTATCCTTTTTCCCGTGATAAAAACTCTTCTTTACTTTAAAGGGGATAAAGTCGACATCAAGAACTACAACCCTATATCACTTCTGACTCTTCCTTACAAGATTCTGGCCAAGACCTTGTCTAACTGGATCCTCAAGATCACTAACAAATGCTTCCACATCGACCAAACAGGATTCATCCCGGGTCGATATATTTTAGACAATGTGATGACATTGAACGAATCGGTAAGGAAAATCAGGGAAAGAAAAATAAATGCTGCCATCCTTTTCTTCGACTTTGAAAAGGCATACGATCAAGTTAACTGGGACTTCATGGAAGCAAGCATGGAAAGGATGGGAGTCGGTCCCAACTTCAGAAAATGGGTCAGAATCCTATACAGAGATGCAGTGGGCTGCGTCCAAGTGAATGGTCTACTGTCTGACTGCTACCCAATATCTCGCTCGGTCCGCCAAGGGGACCCGTTGGCCCCGTCAATATTTCTCTTTGTAATGGAGGCTATTGCATCCTTCCTACGCAAGGATCCGTCAATACAAAGACTAGCCAGCACAGATATAGGCCTGTCTCTTATACACATCTAGATGTGTATAAGAGACAGGATATAGGCTCAGCCCATCAGGTGGATTTTCCTACAGCGATCATGTTCGCAGACGACCTAACGGTCCTAATTAGAGCRTCAGATTCTTCCTTCARAACTCTAGCAAAGGCAATGGAAGCGTTCAGACTAGCATCGGAAATGAGGATTAACTGGGGGAAAACAATTGGATGGTGGCTTTCCGAGGATGAACCCCTCTCGCTTCAAGGAGAGGAGGCTGCAATGACATGGCAAACACCAGACTCACCGACTCGCTATCTGGGCATCCTTATGACAAAGGAAGGGTTGGCACCCCAAATGGGCCCATCCATGCTAGCCAAACAGATCAACAAAATCGGGAGGTGGGGCCACACTTTCGCTTCCCTTATCGGTCGTGCACTAGTACTTAATACGTCCATCTTCTCAATGATGTGGTACATAGCTTCCATTTGGACAGTCCCCGACAACTCGGTCAAGGAGCTGAACCGTAGATCCAGGGTGTATCTATGGACAGGAGACCCCAATAGAGACAAATGCGTACCTATGAGCCTGGCACTACGTCACAAGAAGACCAGGTAACGGAGGCCTAGGAATTATCGACCTCGGAACAGAAACGAAAGCTTTGCAAATCAAATGGATAATTAAACTGCAAATGAAGCCGAATAGTGCCTGAAATAAATTAGCTTTGGACAGCATCAGAGCCTTAGCCCCAATACCTTCCCCGAACGACATGTCTGGGCTGTTTTGGGTTATGAACAAAGAATGGGTGATAACTAAAGGACGAAGGAATTGTACGAGGCACAACAGACTAGGCGACCACCGACCTCCCACGCCCTACTGGCCGGCTCTACTTCGCTCATGGAGGAAGATAATGCCAAACAAAACAAACAAACCCAGATCCAAAGACGAAGTACTAAGGCAACTTTTATTTGGCAACGAATGGTCAACAAACGAAGCCGACAACCCACTCTTCCTAGAACAGAGGTGGATGTCATGGATCAAGAACGGTACCTGGAAAATAGACCACTTGTGGATAGAGGACAGAAAAGACTGGATAACTGAACAAGAAATCACAGCCCGATTGAAAGGATGTCATAGACGAGAGACCAATCTCCACTACATAATCAGTCGCATTCCACAGCTATGGAAAGAAATCCTGATTAAAGATGAATCATGGAAACTGGGTGAGTGGGGCCGCATGATTCAAGATACAGCGCCGACCAGGGCCTATCAATTCTCCCACACACAGCAAGGTCCGCACAATAGGGCCACTTTCCTCTCCTTCCCGATCTCCCTCACCAACTCCGACATGCCCGCGATCTTAAACTGTGATATGGAGTCGTCGGTGTTAGACCCCTTCCTCCTCAGGAAAATAARAGTTTTAGGTAATTGGCCTAAATCAATAYTCAGACCASATACGGCAKTTAGGGCCTTGGAATTCGRCCCGGCGGAATGGGCCTGGACACCAAGTACCACCAGCATCTTCAAGACGAAAATCCCAATCCAGGATTACACAGTCAAACTAGGCTACAGATTGTCATTAAAAACCAAAAACCCTGATCCGATCATAAAGGATAGATGGCGAATCCTCGTGGGTCAGGAAGCGGATAAAATCACAAAAATCCACTGGGATAARTTCAAACGTATTAGACCAGTCAAGATTAGAAGCCTGCAATGGTTKATTGTCTACGCTGCCCTTCCGGTGAATCAATGGTTACACACTAGAAGAAAAAMCACAGACCCTAACAGCTCCGAGCTTTGCACAGTATGTACCGAAGGCTTGGTAGAAGATGTAGTTCACTGCCTAGTGCTCTGCAAAGAAGCCACTGAATATTGGGCCAGAGCTTCAGCACTCTGGAACTCCCTCTTCTCATCTCCCTTCCCCGAACAACCCATCCAACTGCTTCTCCTGACTAACATCCCAGATCAAGTACGAAGGGCAGAAAGGATTTGGTTTGAACTCATCAGGAAAGTGACCATCTGGGTCATATGGAAGGAGAGATGCAGCCGAACAATCGAAGGGCAGGCCAATCCAAGAGAGAACGTATGGTCAGAAACCAGAATTTTGATTCAAGCCGAGATTCTCTGCAGATGGCGCAAAGCCAAACAATCCTGGACCGAAGACGAAGAACAGAGGAAGAAGGTGAGGTCGAGTTTCTATAAAAACTGGCTGGTAAATGGCAAGATTGCAGAACTGCGAGATGACCGGATAAGCTGGAAAGACTGGCACAACTCAATTTCGGAAAGGGGCTTTCATCAACGAACAACTCTTGAGGACGCAATTACTTCTTAAGGCGGCAAGGGCTTAAGTACAGATCTTCAAAAGTCAAAGGGCTAGGTTCAAGAGGTTATGAGAGGTGGAAGGGAATGAGCTGAAGAAGAAGCTATTTTCCGAGCAAGCACAGAGCATACAAGAGGAAATCAGAGCAATGGGGCGAGGAAGGAATTGTCTCCCTGCCAAGCTCACAATGGCCCATCGAAGGACATCAATAAAGGACCAAGGGTTTAGGGTTTATGGAGAGATGCTGGTTCATTCAATAGGGACTGGAAGTCTAATTGAGAAGGATTCAGATCAGTTAGGCTTAACGGGGGGACTCTTTCTAGATTCAGCGAGGCTATCTGGCAGATCTGGACACCAGGTCTGAGAGGAGAGAGAGGGTTAGGGCAAGCTGACAGTCAATCCTCCACTATTGTGGAGCAATCAATGCTGTTCAGGGGTCCTTCGGCCGGACGGAAGGAAGCGTGAGTGATCTCTCTTGATGTAATATCCTTTGACTTGCCGGTGGAATAGGAACCGGACTGACGCTCCCCAGAATAGAATGGAGCCAGGCCCATAAGGTCCTGTTTAAAAAAAAAAACAAAACAAAAAAAAACAAAACAAAACAAAACAAAACAAAACAAAACAAAAACTCTTCTTTACTTTGATCAGCAAAGAGGGACTTATCCTTTTTTGGTAATAAAAAAACTATTCTTTACTTTCATCCACAACGAGAGGACTTTTAAAAAGTTTTTTTCCTCTTTTACACAAGCTGGTGGGAATCAGAGCTGTGTACCTGAATCTGCAAAGTGAAAAATCCGTGCCAGGAGCGCCGTTGGAACACTGAAGTTGAGGTGCGGCAGCACAGAGCCACCACTATGTCTTGCATTGCTGTAAAACCAGAGGAAGCACAAAGGAAACTCTTTTTGTATCAGAAGCTTTTCATCTTCCCAATCAGTTTTGCTCAAACCCTTGCTGGACTAATCCATGTTCATAAAAAAAGAAAAAAAGAAAAAAAAGAAGAAGAAGAACCATGTTATTGAAGGATTCAATCAAGGCAAGCAATACATCCTTGACAAACAACACATCTAACTCAAGGAAAAATGACAGAGAATGGGTAGTAGTACAGAAAAATGACAGAGAATGCATAGTACAGAAAAATGACAGAGAATGGGTAGTACAGAAAAATGACAGAGAATGCGTAGTACAGAAAAATGACAGAGAATGGGTAGAACAGAAAAAAAGACAGAGAATGGGTAGTACAAAAAATGACAGAGAATGGGTAGTACAGATACAGATACGACCGTCTTCACCCGAATATAACGCCGGGTCATGATCGCTGTATCTAGACTGAAAGTTGCACCGGGCGTTCTATTCGGGTGAAGGCGGTAGTGAATCCGTTCCTTTCTTTTTTTTGAAGTTTTTCCCCTTTTCCCCAACCCTTTCCACAGAAAGGAGGATGGTAAGTAGCAGATCAACAGCCCTTGCTCCATACAGAAGCCAGCAGCGTGCTGCAGTTGGTACTCCCCTGCTACCGTCTTTCCCTCGAACACAATGCACCCTTATGAGGACTGTATTGGACCGGAATGATAGCTTGTATACATTCATAATCAGGGTGCATTGTCTTCGGGGAAAGACGGTAGTGGACCCATCTAGCTTGCCCCCCCCCCCCTCCCCTTGAACACCTCTGCGCTTCCCATTTTACCTGTAGCATCCACCCGTCCAACTCATTTTCCCTCCGTTGAGCTCATTTCATCTTGCCGCTTAGGGTTAAGGGTTTCGACACCCCAGTGTGGACCCCCTGGGTGCAGCTTTGGCGGTCTTGCCCTACATATGGGTGTGAACTCCGAAGTCCTCCTGCTTCACCACATCGGGTTGCAGTCTATGCAAACGCATATGCATACACACAATGGCCAAGACTGGAGAATAGCTTGATGACAAATCTGGAAAACAAACCCCTGGCTTTTGAGATCTGGTCATCACTAAAATGCTCTGCCTGCACTTCCGCAACCTTTCCCCAAGATAGACGTGGTGGGTACTCCAGTAATTAATAATTTACTAATAAACAAATAATAAATAATAAATAGTAATTTAATACAATATTGAATATGGTAATATACTAAGAATTTTAATAATTTGATTATGATTTACAAGTTACAACTCGATAGTTAATATTACTTAATAACTTAATACTAAACTTAATTAATCATATAGATCAATATACTTAAATATACGGAGATATCCCGGGCGCCCGGGTCCCGACGGGCACGCCCGGTTTGGCGACCGGGTGACCGGCCGGGCATGACCCCGGGCAGCCCCAGCGCAAAAAAA